ATGCAATGCTAGATTGCTCCTTTCTGAGCTGTCTAGTCTCTTTTCTAGTTTGGCGTGCAGTCTTCTCTATTTCTGGGTCGAAAATCAATTCACATGTACGAGAAGAATGAGGCATAAACTAGAAAAATACCAGACAAATTAAAAAAAAAAACTTAGAAAGAAACAAAATTAACCAAAACACTGATCCCAGGCAACGACGTAAAAAATTGACAGGTGTTGAGTTTGTGCAATAATAATTAATAAAAAGTCTCAATCACCACCACAATTAATTATAGAACAAATCCAAGTACTGAAATAGGGGCCCTAGGTGTGCAATGGATTATTTGATTCACCCTATTCTTGAAGAGTTTAATTGATCCGCTATACCAAAATTGTCTATAAAAGTATTAAATTTGCATATAATGGCAAGTAGGGTCGATTCCATAAGGAACGGGTAGGAAGTTGTTTCTTCCCAAGTCAATAGAAAAAAATTGGGGATATTTAATGGAATGAAAATGAAAATAAAATAAACAAAATTCAAAATCTAACTTGCCAAGTACAATTCGCTAAAAATAGCAATTAGCAAAATTCTACCTAAAGGATCAACTTTTCAGGCACGGTCTAATTAAATGATCATCGATGCAAAGATATTTCACTCATTCGTCACTAGGTTGGTTATAACTATCAACAAGCTCTGACAGCCAGTTTTTCCTTACTTTTTCGACAGCCAAGGTACGACCGTTGACTGCTTCTCTAACCAGAAAATAACTCTAAGTACGACCGTAGGAATTTAATTATCCAGTTGCATTAACACTAGAAAAATCCAACCCTAACCAATAAACACGCTAAGAGGGTTTATTTAAATTAGATCTTACGTTTCTCCAACATAAAACCAATTAGGATGGTTGTTTACTAATTATCAACTAAACGAACAATTACGGATTCAATTTAGTTATCGTGACAGTAGGCTATTAGATTAAGTCAAATATCCGGCTGTTGATACTCAATTAATAAAATAACCATAAACAGTTAATCCAGGAAATGTACGAATAGTAACGGATTGGAAAAAATAGTGAAAGTTTGATTAGATCTCACAGATGTTATGGACGCGCTTTCGCGTCGACTTTTGGGTAGCGAAGAAACCTATCAATCTCGCGTGATTTGATTGATTCCATCCACACAATTACCACAGAGTTAGGAGAGATGAAGTAACGAAGAAACAAAAGAGAAAGTCTTGCTTCTTTTCTTGTTTCGTGTCCGTCTGGAAAAAGTAAAGAAAAGGTCTAAAAGAAAGTCGTCAAAAACAAAACAGAGAGCAAATCGTCTACCTAGGGATACAAGAAACTAAAGCTCATCTCCTAATCCCATGTGAATCTGGCTTTTTCGCCAATTCTTCCAAGTAGCCGCCAAAAGAAAAAAAGCATAAGAGACCCCTACTTTCTCTAGGACTAAAACTCTTATCATCTGCACCTCTGCGGCCCACACGAAAAATAGCTGCCCTTTTGATTTCCTAATTCCCCACTTTTTCTACCAATCTCGCGGGGTCCATCTTTTAGGCTATTGCCCCTAATTCTCCTCCTTATTGGTTGCTACCAATCCGCTGGAAATTGTTGCCTTTTTGTTCTGACGCACTTCCAATAGCATCCAGCAGGAATAAAGGTAAGTTTTGTTAATTAGTCCCGCGGTCCGTTTGTCTCTCTACAGTTTCTGGCGTGAGCACGCCCTGGAATAAAAAGTTTTCTGGAAATTTGTCTCGATAGACCACTTTTTACCCCAACCGCCTACAATTTACACAAATATCAAATATGAACAAAGCCTCGATACTTAGTATAATAAGTAGCCAAAATTATGACCAAATAACAGCATATTAGGTGCCCAATTATTGCTCCATCAAGACTGTCAAAAAGAGCACACTATTTGAAACCCATTTATCAAACACCTCTTATATATGCATTCAATGTTAAATGCCACATCAGCAGCATTAATAAGTGGAATTACATAGTTTTGTATTGGATAGAAAAAATAGACAAATATAATGGGAAAAGGATCCTGTCTGGAATTCCTCGAAGGCAGTCTTAGATACCAGTGTATTGATCAGAGGGCAAACGTGACACTACCTACTAAGTTGGGGAAGGCATTGTAGTTGTTCGGCATACACTGAGATCCACGTTGGCGTATGAGTAGGGGTTTGTGTGCGCACCGCAACTTCGGGATATCTTTCCTTTGCCAATGTTTTAAACAGGATTGATGAGTGACTCAGGAGAGTGATTGGTCTTTTGGCAATAGATTGCTTCTACATGCAGGGTCATTTGACTCTCTATTTTCAATAGAAATGTAAATAACAAGAAACATAGTATAAAATAGAGAAATTTTGGGTGAGGGCAATAGAAAGATATGAATAGCAATGTGCAATTTAATGAACACATGGTAAGATAAACAATTTATACGTTTAGAATGTCATATTTGTCCTTAATATGCTGTTATAAATCTAAAATTAGTGCAAACGATTTAGATCTTTTAATTTTAAACACTTTCTAAAGTTTATATGTAAGGCACTAATTTTGGAAGAGGAATTGCATCTTTTAAATTTAATTTAATATTAGTGACACTATAGACTATGCGAAAATTCGACGAATAATTATGTTAGACTTCATTTGCCACAAAAATCTTTATTTACAATGATTTTTAAAGGTAGTAAAATTTCTTAGCCAGCCAATAAATATTTTATTCGACAAAAAAAAAAAGAAAAAACATGCACACACACATACACACAATGCTTCTAACACTGAATATAAAACTTGTGAATATAATCTTACAAGATATTACAATTTATGTGCGCATAACATACAAACAATAATGTATTTAATGGACTTTTAATCCACCAAATTTGTGCGAACCAATTTTCTGGCGTTATAAGTATTCAAATGGTATGCTATATTCCAATGGATTAAAAAAATTTGCTACTACAACATGTTAATTTAAATAGTTATATTATGGTAAACATATTTACACAATAAAAATTAAAAAAATCTAATCAAACCATAAAAGAATAATTATTTTAAAAAAACCTGACAAGTGTCCATTTTACCTAATAGTTTGTGCATATTTTAGTTCATTTGTAGTCAATTTTGAACTTTTAAAGACGAGTGCGGGGTATGCATATAACAATTAAACTCATTCCACAGTCAAATTTTATATTTATAAAATTTAAAATACACCACACGCAATTTTTTACAAATATACAAGTTAAAATTGAATATAGGGTATTAAGGGTCGAACCCACAGGGAAGAATGAAAAACTACCGTACTACTAAACTTTCTCTATTATTTAGACGATCAACAAATTGAAGGAAATAAAACTAAGGTAAAATGTGCAAGAAAATAGCAAATAAAAACTTCTTAAGTTATGGTATCCCTAACTATTCATGCACATAGAATTTTTGGATCATTGAGTACCACTTTCTTGGCTAGTTAATTTCTTCATGCATGTGAATTTACTCTCGTAGTGAATCAACTATATTTATAATTAATACATACCTACTCTCGTAGTTATGAAAATAGTTACAAGTTTATTACCTCTATCATTACAAGTTCCATAACATGAAATTTGGATTTTTGTAACAATATTATCAGTGACAATGAAAACCTGTCATAGTTGACTCAATTTAGTGATGATTTTTGATGTCGTCACAAATGACCTAACGTAGACCTATCATTAGTGACAACATGGGTCGCACGCAACCTATTGGTGTGGCGGGAAATTACCTGTGTGACGACCTAAGAAAATGTTGTCACTAAAATGGTCCATATAGTGACAATTTCCAACATCGTCACTGTCACTATCTAAAGTACTTGTTCCTAGATTATTTTCATTAATTCTACTATGTCACCATAACTTTTGCAATTAAGCCCCAAATGTAATAAAAAAATTTCATTAATTCTATTATGACACCATAACTTTTGTAATTTAGCCCCGTATGTAATACACCAATTTCTTTAATTCTACTATTACACCATAACTTTTGCAAATTTGCCCCATATGTAGTATACCAATTTCTTTAACTCTACTATTACACCATAACTTTTGAAATTAAGCCCCATATCTAATTCACCAATTTCATTAAATCACTATGACACCCTATCTTTTGCAATTTAGCCCTATATGTAATACACAAATTTCATTATTTGTACTATGGCACCCTATGGTGTTGCAATTTAGTGTTTTTTTTATTAGCAAAATATATAAGGTATCTTAATAAACTATATATGTATACATATTTTATAATTTTCCCAAACATAGGTAATAATTTGTTATAAATGTAAAAAAAATTCATACATTCCCCATTTATCCCAATGAAAACATGGTGGAAAATTAATAATTTGGATAATCTAAAAATAGAGGTAGTCAATAGTAGAATTTAACAATAAAACTTAATACGAAATTAAGTCTAATCCTAACATTTGCGTGATCAAAAGGTTGTTATTAATTATAGAAGCCACATTTATCATTTATGAATTGGTACATATACCAAATAAATAGATTTAGCATTTCGTACATGTATTTGCAAACTATTTTGATTGTTCAATCAACTAATTCGATTGTCAGGTCTTGTTAGACTGCAAGTCATACATAATTGATAGCATCACAAAATGAGTACCAAAACGGTTTTAATTAAAAGAGTGTTTATTTTTTTGAATCGTAAACATATTTCTAACAACATTTTTATTTTTTTGAACTATTTTATTGTATAAAAAATTAGAAGAAGTCCTATATTAGTTAAAATTGGTAAAAAAAAATTTGCCCAAACATACTAAATTGTCATATTCTATTATTTTAATACAACCTGAGAGTAAAAAAATAATAAAACTCAAAATAATAGAAAAACTTAATTACATAAAGATGAGAAAAAGAAAAAAGAGAGAGATAGGAGAAAGGACAAAGAAAGCGTGCACTTCTTGCATCTATATAAGGAAAAGGCATGCTTTCTATATGTACGGAACTAAGAGTGGGAAACTGAAAAATTCAAGTGGCGTGGTGGGCTGAAGGGATTTTAGGGAAATGACACCGTTTGATTCTATGTCCTAATAACTTAGCCAAAGTTTAAGACATCTTCTTCCTCTCTTTTTGTCCTCCTCACATCACCGAGAATGTCCTCCTTATGTATCAAGCTTGCACTACCAAATCCATCCATGAACCAATTAGTGCGAACACTTTGAATTTGGGCAACTTTATCGAGCATGCACCACCAACATCCCTAATTCGGCTGTTGCACTGCCTTGGTGGCAAGAAATTAGAAATTAGGGCTTCAAAATTTAGGTGAAAGCTGGAGTTTAGAGCTTGAAGCTTGGGAAAAATGAGAAGTTAGGGATTGAAGGCATAGTTTGAGGTAATTTCAATATTTTGTGTCCGATTTTGCAGTGCATGGTACATATTTTCATGGCTATGGCTAGTTGCACCTTCGCTGTTTCTTGTCAGATTTAGCTTTTGAGGTTCAATCTTGTTAGTCTCTGATTTAAGCATCAACAAGTTTTGAATCCCTTTTGTTCTGTTCTTATAGATTTGTTGGATTTTCTTGGATTGATTCTTTGTTAGTGATTTTTGGCTAGAGTGCCCCGAAGTTGGTTGTTTGTGTTTTGGCAAAATTTGGTCAAATTCTTTATGTCTTTTTGGAATTGCTATTTCTTATAGCTAATTCTTGATTTGCTTTTAGAGCAGAGCTAGAGCAGAAGTTACTATCTTTCTTGGATCTTGCTTTTAGATGCACAGAACATGAGTGAACCAATAGGCTGGATATAATTGATGTAGCAAAAAAGGTTCGACAAATGGAGAAATTTGTTTGTCATTGTTCGTCTATTACCAAAGTACCATCAAAGTTTTTTCTTTTTTTTGATAGGGTAGAAGAGCTTCATGTGCTTTTCTTACACTAATAAAAAGCTAGATTACTATTCTGAAATTAGTCATATGCTAAACAAGATTTTAAACTATGTATTCATGAAATCCTTTTTCAATCCAAGAGTAAGTTTAGTCCTAGATTACTTCTATTTCACGTTTCAAGCTAAGTGGAAAAAGTGAAGAGATTATGATCCAAACTTCAATTACCTTTAAAATTTTTTCATTAATATGGTTCTGCTTGGATATCATCGTTGGGTTAGTACATACATAGTACTATTTTGTTAAAGTAGCAAGTTGCCACTTGATATTTCTGCTGTTGACTTGAAGACATTTGTATACTCCATGTCAAGCTAGTTTTACATGAAACCAAATAGAAACTGGCAGTGAACTGATTGGATGTATCTTGGTACATGCCTTCCTTGTCAAAGTCAACCATGTCTATTTGTATTACTATATTGTGACTTGCCATCCAATTGCAGCAGCCATGTAAGTTTGAGATAATCAAAGGTAAATTTTGACACTAAATGAAAGAAAAAAAATGCACTTTTCATCCTCAAAGGTTGGGTTGATGACCAATTTCGCCCTCAAAATTTCACTAAGAATACATTTCATCCTTAAAGTTTCTGAATTTTGGCCAATTAGGGACAATTGACAGAATAACACTCAATTTGGATGGAAAGCAGCGCGTAAGAAGCATACCCCGTTAGAACCAACTTTGCATTCAACAAAAAACGGATAAAACCTGTTCTTGCTTCATTTATGTCCTCTCCGCTCCTCTTCTTGTTGTAGTTCTAAAAAAACTTTCTAACCACCCTCACCATTCTAAATCCAGTCATTTCTAGCAAAAAGGTTGACATAAATGGTCGACATCCACTTATTCATGGGTTATAGATGACTTGGATTTGAGTATCTATCGAAACGCATTAAATTAACCCAGTCCATTTAGTTTAAATTTATTTTTATTTTTTACCTATAAAAAAAAATAATAGAGGAAACTCTATTTGCAAAAATAGAGGAAATCCATAAAAAATTGGTAGGTTGTTGTTTCTTTATCTTGTATAGAAACTACCAGTTGTTTATAACTTTAATTTTAGGGATAATTTCAGAAACCTCAGGAGAGGTTTTTGACTATTGCAGGTAGGTCCTCTCTAATTTAAAAGATTACACTTACCTTGTCTACTATTAGCATTTTTGTAACAATATAAATCCACTATGCTAAATTTGTCCTAAAAACCCTAAAATAGCTCTTTATTAGTTAGAAGGGGGGAAAACTCGCTCATGAATTTCTTCCACATTGCAACTATTGCAATCGGCATAACTACCACCCTAACGAAGTCAATAAGCCACCTTAACTTAATCCTCGTATTCTCATAATTTCGAAAGCCCAACTTTGCAGCTCTAAAGCTTCCTGTGCCAATCAATTATGACAATTAACCATTCCATTCAACCTAATCTTTTTCCTCAATTTTTTTACCCAAATTTTGCATCTAAATAGACCAATGTCATTATTCAAATTCAATCAAAATGGATGCAAGCTTGTTGATGTTAAAATAATCTAACCCACCAAGAATACCAATAAGGAGCAACCAAAAGCAACATTAGAGACCACACTATGTCTTTAGGCAAATTTGATTATAGTTCTTATATCCCAAAATTCTTTTTTTTTTATACAATTGGTATAATAGTGTAATCTTCCTGAATCTATGTTTCTTTTTAGCCATTTTTTTTATTTTCTTGTTTATAATTTGTATCACCGCCATGCTTTTCATCTTCATTTAGTTTGATAACAAATATGCTTTGACAACCTATTATTTAGCAATGTTAATTCAATAATAGTTACAAAAAAGGAAAACAAAAAAAGAGAGAGGATCTATTTCCATAATAATGAGGATTCGGGATGTATTAGATGGTTGTGTAGATGGCAACTATAGAAAAAAAGTGGACTATGAAATACATGAGAGAAAAGGTAAGAGAGAGCATCGAAGAGAGAGAATAAGAATTTGTTGTGTGGTAACCGTTGTTTTAAAATAAAAGATTAGTTTTAGTTGTAGGCTTTTTTAGAAATTATCTGTAAGTGAAGGATATTATAGTAATTTTACTGCATGAATGGAGGTTAATGTAATTATTCAAAACTAAGGGAGGTGAGTAAAATTGTCAAAAACCTCAGGGGAGGTTTCTGAAATTATTCCTTTCTTTTATCTTGTCCAAAAATTATCACCTCTTTATAACTTCTTTTTTTACCTTCTCTAGAAATGCAAAAAATGCTAGCTATGCATAGGATTCTTTGTGGGCTTCTTTTATTTCCCATAAACTATCAGACGTTCGTTGCTTTCGTCCATTATTTGAAAAAACTACCAGTTATTTATGGGTATGATTTCAGTTCCAAGCTAAAATAGGCATTATAAAAAAAAATCACCAACTGTTTTTATCGTCATTCTGATTTACATGTCAATAAGGTAAGAAGGAAAATTTTGGTAGAGTTTTGCCTTAAATTTTAACAATCCAAAGTAGCAACCAAACTGGATATTGTAACCAAATTAATATAACCAACTAAAACCATCAAAAAAGAAGAGGCATAGGCTTGTCAAAAATGCATTCCAAGTGGTCCTTGACATGGCTCCTACTGAATATGGACCAAAAAGAAAATAACATAAAGATACAAAAATTAGAATTCAAAAGTTATAACACTAGTGTCTGCACTTCTGAACGGGTTTTATCCCTTTTTTGTTGGTTCTAATAGAACATGCTTCTCATGTGCAGCTTTCCGTCCAAATTGAGTGTTATTCTGTCAATTGTCCCTAATTGGCCAAAATTCAAGAACTTTGAGGATGAAATGTATTCTTGATGAAACTTTGAGGACGAAATTAGTCATCAACCCAACATTTGAGGATGAAAAGTGCATTTTTCCCCTAAATGAAATATAAATAAGCATATAGTTCATTCATTGTGTTTATTTCTACAGTTCATTCTCTTATTTATAATTCATTGTTGTTTCCTTTTGCATTTGTCTATTCATTGTTTTCATTTAGCTATCCATTCCTTTGCTGATATTTGTGCATAATACTTCACATTAAAAACAAAAGACACAATATCTTCTTATTTCTGAGTTGACAAAAGTATTTGCTCTTCTTGTCCTCTAAGTCAATTACTTTGATAATAAAAAAGTTAGATATTCTCATAATCTAATTCACTACAAGAAATTTGGTCCTTACTAATTAACAGCCCCTTACTCTGGCATTTTGTAACCTTCTGGTTCTATTTGCCTTTCCTGTGACTTGTTTCCTTTCTCCTCTCCCTCAACTCTATCCATTTGAGAACTTTTGCATATGGCTTTGGTGCAAGTATCTGAATTTGCAACGTTAAACTGTGTTAAGGTGCTCAATATTTCTTAGTAATTAATCTCATTTTGTTTTAGCAAATGGTCTATGTCTGTTCCAAAATTAGAAATTGGAGAAAAGGTTCTGCGTTTCCTTCATTTTCTATTCTTTTCCTGTCTGTTTATTTGAATAAGACTGTCATTTCATGTGTACGGATTTCCCGTCTATTTTCTAGGAGACATATATGCAGTAAATGAAACTGTTTGTATGGGATTTGTTAAGGCATGGTTAAGAGATTTTAAGCCAGTTTCACAGAGATAATAAGAATAGTAATTAAGAATTCAAGTCAGATTATGGTTGTAGTTTCAATATGTGTCACCATTGATGTTTGCAGCAACTATCTCATTTTTTTTTGTTCCTGCGACAGAGAACTGCTCTAGAAGTTGTGAGATTGTTGGCACAAAATACCAAAGAAGTTGGATTTGAGTTTCTTAAGTACGTGAAAGAGCAGAAACTGGTAGAATTAGTAGGCTTGTTGTTGGTGGCTCGTGAAAAGGTTATGCCTCGTTTAGAGGGACGTATAAAGATCCACAATTTTGTCTTGAAAGAAGCCGTGTTTCTGAATTTACAAGAAATTAGGTCCTTGTATGGCTCCGGTGATGAGAAGTCCCTACGAGAGGTAAAAAAGAAGAAGGTGGAGATGGATTCAATACTATTATTACTCAAAGTATTTGACAGAATTGGTGATAAACTTTCGGCTTATCTTCAGATAGTGTGAAAATAGGTATTGACTACTTGTTTTACCTCTTCAAGGATTGAGGTGGTCACTAGTTTAAACTAAATCCTAATAGTTAAACTAGAGAAGCATACAATGTAAGCCTCGAGTTTCTCTTCTTTGGTTGTGTTGTCGTTATTATATTGTTCAACAAATTTGGTGTTATGTTCTACTTTTTGAATTTTGGATGTGAGATTCAATGCATGTGACTTGTATTTCTGTGGTAGGTAGGAGAGGAATATCATGCCAAAGAAATTGGTTGGATCGTGTAAAAAGTTGGATTTTCCATGAAGCTTGAACTTTTTGATGAAACAAGCAGGTTTTGGCGTCAAGGACTTTTTCCCTCCCCCACTCCCCTTTCTCTGAGTATCTAGTGATACTGTAGCACAGTACATGGACTTATTCCAAACAAAGTTTTCCTTGCAGCTTAACATGACAGAATTTGGTATAAGAAGTAAAAGGAAATTGAGATGAATTTGATGCATTTCGGTAATTGATGCATTCCGGCCCATGCCTCTTCTTTTAGTCTTGTTTTTCTTCAGCTTTTAGATGTATGACTCGGAAATATTCTTTAGCTTGGCAAAACTACTATGACTCTAAAATATTCTTTGTTCCTTTTCAGACTGCTCCACATAGATTATGTTGATCTTTTTACACATCTAAGCAAGCTCGTCCCTGTCACATGCATTTCTTTCCGAGTATCTTAACGTCTAAATTGGATGGAATAGTCAGAAGGTGAAATGTTTAACAGTTAAATAACAACTGTTGCTTTGTTAAAGGTTAAGTGATAAAAAACGATCAAAGGTAATAGTTAGATGATACCTAGCGTCACTTGCTCTATAAAGAGCAGTGAAGTGTGCATGTGCATATAAACGAACCTTCGCTCGTAAAATCGATTCTTAAATCTGTTTAGTAGAGATAGAAAAATTAAAAGATATGTTGAAAAGCATAAACCAAAAGAGCGGTTAATTTAGAAAAAGAAAATCCAAAAAATAGACCATTCAGGATCAAATAAATTAGTGTGGTCTTGTTTGATAATCTAATTCAACACTTAAATTTGATGGATTCAAATCTTAACATGTTCAAACGTGTTTGATAACAAAAAATTGAACATTTGAATTAATTAAGTGACACTGAATTTTTTAGACAAAATTTGCTCCAAAAAATAAGTGATAAACTATCCACTTATTACTGAATGTGTTATACACTCAAATGTAGTAGATTTAATATTTAAAAATTTAATAATTTAATGAATTCAAATTTCAAATTTTAGATTTCAGTTTTATCAAACGTAACCTTAGTAGCTCTTCAACCTTACCTTCTCAAAGTGCTCACAAGTGTCAACATAACGGCATAGTTCTCCAATCTCTACATCTACACGTTTCGGAGGAGTTTCCTGAGGAAAATTTATTTATACTTGCGTGCTATGAAAAATATATATTCATTTTCAAGCACGAGATCGGCTAAACAAGAATTTCACGAGGAATTTCTTTAACTGTAAAATCATTGGTTAGAGGGCATTTCATTGAGATTATAGCATTTCAATGACGTATATGTATATATCTATTGGTATCATACATTAGATATATTTTTCAAAGTGCTCTGAAAATGATATATTATTCTCGTTTAGAGGCTTGTAAATACGTAGAGGTGGCAAAATGGGCGGGATGGGCAGGATTTACTTGGGTTTGAGATGGAACCGAATCATATGGGTTTAGACCCAACGTTACTCATATGTGTTTTGGGACTAACTTGGGCGGGATCACTTTGGGATGGGTTTAGATTGATCCCGCCCAAAACCCAAATCCATTTTCTACATATTTTTTTTTCCTTTAATTAATTTTTTATTTTTTATATAAATTTAATATTTTTTATTTATTAAATGTCTTTTAGTTTTATTAAATAAACATGCAAGTGCTTTATGCTCAAGACTCCCACCAAAAATTGGATTAACAAATAAAGGAAAAGATAGATATACAACCATATTCCAACATATATCAAGATGGCCAAGGTCCTTAGGATGTTGAATATTTATCCTCATCATTGTCCAAGTATGACAGGTCTAAACTGACTGAAATGCTGGAAATTCTTGTGGATAATGACTAGGAAGACTACTAGATTATATTCGCTGGTATGACTATAAAAATTGTTAAAGATAATTTTTGAATCTAAGACTCCGTTTGGATTGGCTATTTTTTCAAAAAATAAGTTTTTCAAATACAATGTTACAGTAATATACAATAACTCAAGAAACATCCCATCCATATTAGTATATCAAATATTTAAAAAAAAATTTATAGTAAAAATTTTTCATATACACTACTACAATAAATATTTCAAAAACATCCTCCAAACACAACTAATCCAAACGGAGCCCTTGCTATTTGAGCCCAATGGATACCCAAGTATTTCCCACCCTTTCCCATTTATTAATGGGTATAGTTGGGATGTGTCCCAACTTAAACCCAATACTAAATTATAAAACCCATCCCGCCCAAAGTTCCTATGGGCATGGGTAGCCCATTGGGACTTGGGACAAATTGCCAGCTCTATAAATACGCCAGGCATAATTCTTATTACTGATTGCAAAAATTAATCGCACCACTTTCTACACCAATATTATAGCAGCTCATCCACCGTGGCATTTTAGGCTTAGTACTTGGATAACAGATCAAGTGAATAAGCGTCACTTCTAAAGCTTAGATTTATTGCTTCTCCTCCTTATTTCTCGGCTGCATCAGTCGATTCTTTTTGGTGGTGGAGGGGCATCTTGTGGATCTCTTGGAGGGTGGGTATGAGGATCCTGATAATCTATTTCAAAGTCCAACGACTTTTCCTCATCTTCCATGGTCTTTAAGCCCCAGGAGAATTCACAATTTGGGAAAAGAATGAAAGAAAGAATTCAGTAATTGATCCATGAAAATTAGTCAATTATTCTGTATAAGCAAGAATTGGTACAAAGAGGGCAATCCAATATACATGATAAAGACATGAAAGACATGAGATTACCGTAGTGTGTGCATCATCATCCAGTTTTTGATCTTCACTTGTGAAGACACTTCCTAGAACCATCCAAATAAAGAATTAAATGTGGAAATAACTATCCATAAAAAGGGATGAATAATCATAGGTCTTATCGTCATGCATCAATTTCAGATTCTAGTCTACTCACATATTACAATGTGTCAATATTTCTGATTTTTTTTACTATCTGTCGTAAAAGAGAACACTGATAACTTGTTCAATAAACTTACTTGACATTGGAATCGCCAGAGTTGAGTGGATGTGGAAATACATCAACATGACTGTTAAAATCACAAGGAAAGGCTTCATTGCCACAGTAAGAGACTGTATACTACTGAACAAATAATGCAATTTTGGCAGCATTAGTTTGCTTTATATAAATGAAGAGAAGAGTATGTGAAAACAAAATCCTTACCAAGACCAGAAAAATCTTGACATTAAATTTCTGCTATATTATGTGCCATAAATTGCTTGCCAAACTGATTAGAATAAATTTTGTGACCGCATCCATATACTATTAGGATTCAAATGCGGAATAAATAATTATCGAGACATCAAGTGCACAACAATTTAATAAGGAATAAATCACAAGTATAAAAGATAAATCACACACAATATTTAACATTGTTCGTCTCTACCATTGAGCCTACGTCCACAAAGAGAAATTCGTTCTTTATTATGAGAGGAAAATCCTATACAAGAATACAACTTGAACCCAAATCCAACCCTTGTATATCATCTCTCATCTTCGAAAAACCCTCTCTCACCACCCCATGTATAAGGTTACATATTGCCCATGTGTGCTCTTGTGTGTACTTTTGTAGTATACTAACCCACCTATTTATAGAGAATATTATTTGACCAAAACCCAAATAATAATAGGAAATCAATTCTAATTCCGAGACTTACATAGAATAGGAAATAACTTTTAACCCTAAACAAAATAGGAAATTTCTTGACTACTACTTCAAGTAACTAAAACCAATTAAGAAACTAGTTACTTCCACACAAAACAAAAAACCTGCTTAAAAGAAATTAAGTCAATTTCCTAACATATATGATTGTAACAAAACAATTCTATCCTAAAAACTCCTTCTCTCTAGAAAAACTCTTTAACTAAAACTCCCTTCAACTCTCCCATGGGAGAGAGGTTAGATTTTTCTGATCTTTTCCTGAGGGAGGAGGCCTCTCTAGAGTTTTTTTTCATGTGTATGAATAAAATTTCTTCTAAAATTTTCTAGCGAGAGTTTTTTCTTTCCTTAGGGTTGTCTAGTGAGAGTTTTTTTTTCTCTTCTAAATTTTTTATTAAGAGTTTTATTCTCTCATGAGGATTCCTAGTGAGAGTTTTTGATAATTTTTATATATTTCTTTTATTAGATTTGAGTTTTTTCAGATTTTGCTTATCAAGAATTTCTTGGATCTACTTCCAGATTTCACTATAATATGTGGAGTTGAAATAGTTAATCAATAGATCTGGCGATTGGAAGTATGCATATATATCCATGGAGCTACAATTATTTTATCTCATTTTTTAAATTTAGAGCTTTATTATTGTTCTTTAGATCTGTAGTATCCTTTTTTCAAATCTGTTCTTTGATATCTGTGTATGTTTAATAATGTAATTTCTGCCATTAATGCAAGTTTTAATGAAATTATGATATTTTATATAAAAAAAAAGAATAAATTTTGTGACCTTATAGAATAAAAGGGTATGGGTAATGAAAGATAACTAATACAAGAATCCAATTTAATAAGAAGTATTGACTTGGTTAATAAATGTCAAATTGATTCCCTCCAACTAAATACTACAAGATCTCCCAATTACATAAATGAAACGAACCCACAAGTGTAAGGCTCCTCCACCCCCCGATACAAGAGATAATAATTGATGTAGATTTGGTTCGTGTAATCTGAAAACTTGCCTGACCAATTGGTTGGCAAATCATGCTAGGTCTAAACAAAATAGGAAATTGGGTATAATTGGACACTTCATCATATTCTACGATATCTTATCTTTTATAGCATCAGGAAATTAAAATGCATGTGCTCCACATTGTATCAATTACGGCAATCTATAACTAAAAGTAGCGCTGTAATCGAACCAAGATGCTTAGTATTCGGCTTGAACTCGACTCAATTCAGGTTCATTCAAATTGTTTGTTTAGGTATCAATC